CCCTAATTACTAGCGATTAAAGAGCTGGACATATGCACATAGATGTATACGAGTAGATAGATGCCTGCAAGATAGTCGAGAGAGATGAACTTGTGCTTGTTAGCTCTACTTGTTCGACACATTCCCCATGTGCAGTAGGAAAAATATGAAGCAAGAAACACAAATATGTATTGTATGTATGTGTGTATGTAGTTATGCATGTACGCGTGCATGTATGAAGGTATATATGTATGTATGTACGGATGTATGTATGTATGTATGTATGTATGTATGTATGTATGTATGTATGTGTAGGCATACACACCGATATTCTTCAATTTGATCATTCTCCTCCCTCCACTCCCTCCCTCGCTCTCTGTTTGTCAGAATACCTGCATCCTCCCGGACGTCGGTGGTTTTGTAAGAATAGCGCCTGGTCCACAAATCCCCGCTCAGGTGCTTAGATGCAGACCAAGTCTCTCGAGCCTCGGGCTTGGCGGAAGGATGTGTTTGGGTTAAGGTGCTTCGGGGCTCTTGGATTTCTCATCATTGGGGCGTGCTAGCTCCTGCAGGCACTGGCCTTGAACCGACGAATTCGAGCGTGTTCCGCATTGGTGGCACTGTAGCAACGAAGGACAAAGCTTTCAAAGAGCCTCAGACATGCAGACAACTCCAGACCTCCAGCATGGAAGCCCCAGAGGTTTCGGACATTCCTGGCTGCAAGGTCCTGGAGCTTGCTCGGAACTCCCCTGGGCTCCGGGAAAACAGCCTGATGCCCAGAATGGCATTTGACTATAAACCTAATGTTCGAGTGTACTGGTAGGAACGTTAATACACAATCAAGCTACGGTTCATGTGCCGCACAAGGATCTTTTGCAGATGCAAACTTAACTTCAAGATGCGATATCATTATGGCGGTGTAGCGTGATGTGGTGGTTGAACACGCAGAGATCGTTTCATCGTAACCTACAGGCTGCATCAGTTGGTGCGTGGTGGGCTTCTGCCATGATTGTTGCCTTTTGCAATTTCCCGCACTGCCTCTTGAGTGCAGCATTGCTGCATACATGATTCTATCCGTGAATCATGAGTGCCCTCAAGGCTTGGGGGAGACGACAACTTTCAGGTCAGAGTTGATTTCGGATATGCTTGTGGCTCTGTTGGTGGTGGCTTCGGCTTGGCAAAATCCGGTATCCTGCGTGGGAGGTTTGGAGGCAGCCGCAAACGCGCTGGTGAAGGAAGCGAACCTTGACTTTGCGCGGACGCCCCGCTGGCAGCGATTTCGTTTGCGCATGCGGATGTCGGAAGAAAGGACTACTCTGAGTCCAAACCCTGTTCCATCACTACACGACTTCTGTGCTGCACCCTGCTGAGCCAACCAACTCACGATCCTCACATGTGCTGGCATCCTCTCCGTTCTTGAGTGCTTCACGGTCACAGCTGAGTCTTAGACATTGTGGCCGGCAGATATTGTTCCGCTAGCTTGTCGTGTTTCTTCCTTCACTGCTTGCCTCTCATGGACTTTACGGGTTAGGTCTATTAGGTGAGAGGGTTTGAGATGGGCTGTTCCGCTCCGGTTTGCATTTGCAGTCAATGCATGCTGCTTGCCATTGTGGCCAGGATGAACAAGATCATCTTCATCAACAACGAGGCTCGCAGACCCCGAAGCCTCGGGAGACTCAGCCCTGCACCTCAGCCGCCTCAGCCCGAGCGGAAAGTCTCCACTTGGGCAGGATGTCAGGGGATCACAATGTGATGGCTAGGATTGTGTGGAACCGTGACAAAGCACACAGTCTGCCAGAGTCTGCGTGGGTCAATCTGGCGGATATGCATGTGGCAGGTACAGAAAGAGGAGGGGCACAGTGCAGTGCGCTTGGCAAGGGTAGTACTAGTAGCTGCGCATATGCAAGGTAGGATGCAGATGCAAGCTGCAGATGACACTTTTGACGATCCCCAACGACCCTGCTTCAGGACTCGATCGGTTCTTAACTTGAACATGCCAAGCTCGTTTGTTGGCGACTAAGGAGTCCAGAGGAGTCAGCCGTTTCCTCGATGCCTCTGCAGACTTGTTCACTCTGTCATCAGGTCGCAGTGCTCTCTGCTCATGTGTGGCCATGCTGCCTGGTCAAGCCATAAGTCGCCACTAGTGCAGTTAAGAGCAAGAGCAGGATGAGCTGGATGCGAAAACGAAAACTTCGGAAATGCTGTTCGGAGGCTCACTGGTGGGCGATGTTCGTGGTGACGGCGGTTGTGGTGACGGTGCTGCTGCTGATGACGACGATGATGATCCTGACCGTGCTGCTAGTGAAGGTAGAGAGTTGTTATCCTGCAGTGGTGGTGCAGTCGTCGCAGCAGTGGAGGCAGTGCATGTAGTGCTTGCAGTCAGACTCAGAGGTGATTAGGCAGAATCATTTGTCAAACTTGAACATTGCTGTCTAATCAGCCTGGCTTCCTGGCACTCGTTTCCGCCACTTACAACACCAACGCCACCAACAACAAGTGCTACTAGTCCTCCTGCTCCAACTGCTGTTTCACTACCACTACCACTACGACCACCGCCACCACTACCACTACCAGTACCCTTTTCCACGACCACTACAGCTACAACTGCAAGTACAACTGCGACGACGAAGACTGCCACTGCCACTGCTGCTGCTACCCCAAGTGCTACTCCTCCTGCTACTCCATCCACTACCACTGCCACCACTACTACTACTACTACTACTACTACTACCACTACCACTACTACTACTACTACTACTACTACTCCTACTACTACTACTACTACTACTACTACTACAACTCCTACTACTACTCCCACTACTACTACTCCTACTACTCCTACTACTACTACTACCACCAACGACGACGACGACTTTCACCCACGGCTATGAGTACTCAAAACCACCACCACACCACTAGCATCTTCAGCAGTACTCGCAAACCGGTTACACCGCTTTCGGGTGCCAGTTCCGCGCTCCTTTCACTTCTAGCTCGGCGGTTCTTCCAAGGTCCTGCACTCTTCGGATTTGTGAGCGCCGAGGAGCTGGAGGATGATGAAAGTCCCTTCGACAGGCACGGCACTGGCTTTAGGTGTTGCTGTTCTTGCCACTTATCGGCGGTAGCACGGTCCTTTCGGTTTCAACATCCAAGCGTGTCATTCGAGACAGGCCCGTCCCCATGTACTCCTTGTGGCCGGTGCCGGAATACAGCTTCACGGACCTCTTCTCCGCCTTCTGTCCGATCCCTTGAGCAGAACAGTAACAGAGGAAGCTGCACGGAGCGAGGTGGCAACGCACACAAAGATGTGGAGGCACAAAGGTGGACTCGGATTTGTGTCTCTTCGACCGCGCTTTTTTGTGCTCATTGTGTCGACCTGCGGCTGTCCTCTGAGGCTTCGCCTCTCTGCTAATCAAGCCGGAGGTGGTGAGCACCCATGCTCCACACTCAGGTTTAAGAGTGGATGTGTCGCTGCTGTTTCTCGAATTTCTATCTTCCGGTGATGATCCCCCACCAGAGCAGTAGAATGCTGACCCCAGGCCGCACGGCATACCGAAGTCTAGGAGCCTCCATTCCTGACAAAGCCACAAGAATATGTCCAACTAAAGGCAAGAACAAGTTCGAACCATTTGGTCCCATGTCTTAAAGCGAGCGACTGCGGGCCCTGAGTTTGACTCCGCAGCGCGTGCATGACCTTTCATTTCTTGAAGGGCACTGGCTATGCAATGCTGGCACTACAACTTTCGAAGGTCAAGACAAATTGAAATCGTAGTAAACATGGTGCCCCAATGATGGCATTCGAATTTGGCTGGAACCCCAGTTCTCAGTCCAACTGAAATCAGGCATGAGGGCTAGGATCTCTGGACACTAGACGAAACTCAAGCCTCAAGTTTGCCAGAAGCTTTGTGGCATGCTTCAGGTAGCTCTGGCGGAGGAGAGCTTGTGGCTGCTGCCTGGCTGAAGATCTTATATTCGGCTGGCACGTCTGTGCCAGCCGGGGTTCCGAGGGTGCTTTCCGATTCTGGAAGCACCGGCGTCACAGTTGGCTACAGCTATTGGACGGCTTGTGTCCGTGTTCTGAGCCCTATCTGCGACTGCTATATACATGTCTGCGTGTACGTATGGATACATGATAGTCTTGCTGAATCTGACCGTAACAAGCATGTAGCAGCGTGCAGCTGTTAAAGATGTCTGAACTCGGAGTACTAGTCGATCTGTGATGTGAAGTCCTAGAGCATGGTGCACAGGCTGTCCCAGACCATCTACAATCTGAAGTACACGGAGGCCTGTGTTCCAGTCTGGAATTGCAACTTGCGATGTTCAATGTCTGGAGTTGCGTTTAGAAGCACGAGGCTCTCGTCAAGTCTTGGGTCAAGCTGTTCGAAAATTTCTTTCCTCAGGTTCCACTGAACGCAAGGGCGATTGAGAATCCATCAGATCAATGAGACCGCTAAACCGAAGCGAAGCAGCCAAAGCAAGGCCACCAGACATTTCATGTCCGGTGTTGAGCGGTAGGCACTCCGCCTTGACTATTTCACACAGCTGCAGAAGACCGTGATTACGTCCACGCCGGGGCCACGACGTGGGAGTACTCCTATCAACACGTTGTCCAATAGCTCATGATAGCCACTCCCTCTGGGGTCAATGCTGCGAACAGAGCATAGCCGGTCGGCTGCGGTTTCTACGTACATGTGTTCGCGGCTTCGTTGAAGTTTACATTTCAGTGTAGGTAGGTGTATGCCAATGCATGTTTCATTTTTCAGTCTGACGGCGGCTGAATGTGCCCGGACCGAGGTCGGAGCGTGTGAAGGAGAAGTGGGCCAAGCGGGCATGTTGGACAGTGGACAAAGTCTAGCTTGTGCAAGCTGGCATTTCAGAAAGGAGCTTGAGGAAGCATGGCCGAGCTTGGCCTCCGACCATGAAAAGCGGACCACTGATGCACACGAACTTGCTGACCTTCGGTCTCGTGTCCTGGTTCAATGCACTCTCGCATGAGGTCTTCGGCATTGCAGTCATTACAGTGCTCCCTCGGCCCCAACCCCGAACTGTCAGAACCCAGAGCAGACTGTCCACGGCCAGGTGAACAAGCTGCAGAAGATCATGCTGCAGCATTTCACAAATGTGACTGGGACAGACCATGCTAATGGAGCTAACTGGTACTGCAGCACTGGTGGTGGCAGCAGCAGCCGCAGGAGCAGCAGTGGCGTAGCGTAGTCGTCGTCCTGGTCGACGTCGTTGCAGTGGCAACAGCAGCAGCAGCAGCAGCAGCAGCAACCGTATGTCACTCTGCTTTCTAAGGTTGGGAAGGGATGGTTCTCCATCCACGAGACAAACCCTGACACCTACCGCCAGGCACACAAACTGAAGGGTTCTGTGCACCCAGCGTTGTCGGACGCGGCAGGTTATTGGAAGGGAGCGGGAGTCTCAAAAGGCATGCCTCCCGTCTTAGGGCGTAAATTGACGTGGCAGGGCAAGATGCGGAAGCTACTGTCTGTCATCCGCTTCGTGATGCAGGCTGCGGGCATGGGATTGCAAGCACAGCTCATGCCGATGGGAAGCAGTTTCTGAACTTCTTTGCAGAACGAGAAGTTCGCAGTTCCAGGGGTCTGCACGTCCGGGCATGCTGTTTAGAAGCTCAGGAAATGTTCTTTGCAGTGTGCTCGTTGCCGTAAGAATTGTGCCTCTGAGGACACGCTGCGATACTTTGCCCTAGACTCCGTCGGTCACTACTGTGAGGGCCTGGAAAGGCACCCGATTGCTGCCTTGCTGCCGGAGCGGACAATTTATATTCCTGCAATCTTTGTGCAGAGGGGATCTTAAATAGTGTCTGCACTCCATGCATTCCTGGAAGGTACTGCCCGGCCAGCGTAGATGTGCATCTGGGCCGCAAAGGCAAGAATTTCCAAGTCTAAAGAGGGAACTTCGAATCACATGTGGAATGTCCGAATCCTGCTCGAATTAACAAGCGCTAGATACGATGAAGCCCCCCACCTCCATGGGCAGGCACCATCCGGGTCCTTGCAATCTGCTCGAATCATATCGAAGCCTGAAGCCTGCAATTGGGCTATCAGCTTGATTAGCCTGTTTCGGGATTTCGCACAGTGATGCACAAATCCCAAGCAAAGCAGCGGAAGTTTACCAACCTTTTGAAGGTGCCTGCGCGAGTTACCTTTCTCACGATTGGTGAAGAAAGTAGAAAGCCGAAACAAGTCTTGAGAGCAAGATCCGTCACGCAGAAGAACAAGCTGCAGCCTCTCCCCCACTTTCACCCCCGATGGTGCACTGAGGCAAGATCTGCTGCATGTGGAGTCCACCTTCGACCCACCTGATCCAGAAGCCGACAAAGCAGCCCCCCGCCTTTTCCACAAGGCCGGCGAAAGGTCCGAGGTTTCGGAGGAGGTGAGGCAAAAAGGATGCAGGAAATTCTTAGGACATGCATCTTGGTTACATTGCGTGTCGAGCTTTCCGTTGGACCCGTTTCACTTGAGAAGCTGATGCAGACTCGGTCTTCCCTAAACCAACCGTACGCGTAAGCGCATGCAAATTTAGCTCAGCTGATGACGGCAGCCATTCCAAAGGCGGCCTGCTCCTACATGGAGGCACAGAAGCACCTGCGAGCGCACACAGGTGCTTCGCACAGCATAGTATGTCGCGTGCTTGGGATCGTCTTGCCCTCTAGCACTATGCTGGAGGGAGGTATCTAGGTCTCAGGTTCCGGAATCTGCCGTTTGCATGCCGCGGTTGCATTTGAACTTCTTGGTTGCACACGTTGCGTCGGCAATGCGCTTAGGGGGAGTCTTGCTCCAGGTTGCACTCCATCTTCAAGGATGTCACTCCTCTCCGACTCGTTCTGGATCCCATCACCAAAATACCACACTTCAACGGGGACAGCCGCGCCTCTGATCCAGAAGCCTAAACCCGAACACATCAGTGCAAGGTGCTAGCGCCAGCGTTTCAGCCCCAGTCCCGCCAGCGGCTGGAAGCACTGCGGCCCCTCCAGGCCACACCAGAGGATAAGGGGTCAGGGCTTTGGCAAGCCCAAGAGCGACGCTGGACTCGTTCCCCCGGCGTGAACTCGCTGTCCAATCGTTGGTGTTTGCTGTTTGTTTGTTTGTGTGTGTGTGTGTGCGCATGTGCGTGTTTGTTTGTGGGTTGTTTGTTTGTTTGTTTGTTTGTTTGTTTGTGTGTGTGTGTCTCTCTGACTACTTTATTTGGTCCCTCCAAGGGCCCACGTAATTAGCCTCGGATGCCCGCACACAGAGTTCAGCAGGCCCGACCCGACAGGTCAGCGTTATCTTGGCGATCATACAGTCATAAACAGAGCCGCAGCACATGTAGCTATGGCCAAGGGGATGTTGTTGGTCATAGTAGGAAGACCTATGCCTATAGCTATCTTGATTACAAATGATTGTGCGGCTTGCTAAGCATGGCTTCACTCTACAAGTTGCAACGAGCTGGTTACGGTACTATATAGCAGCACTAGCTGCAAGCAGCCACTGGCAGCAAGATTGTTGCAGGTACTGGCAATGGTTCTAGCCGCAGTGGGGCAGCAGATATTGCATATTGTTGCGTTCTTGTCAATCAAACAATACACCCAATCGAAACCTGACAGGAGCAGAGTCCACTATCGACCAAAATGAGGGCATCAGCCGCGAGCCCTTGCCTCGTCAGGTGTTGTAGTACAGTTACCAGGTCCAACATGGCTAGTCTTGTTTGCTACTGACAAGCGGTAAAAGGCAGGGAGGCAACTGGGCAGCAATTCTTGGGTCCCTGTCAGAGTTGCAAGGCAGTTTAACAGAGGCTTCTTGAGTTCTCACTAGGATGATCTGAACAGAGGTTGGTTCGCTGCATGAAGGGTTGACATTTACAGGCTGCATGTTGCAAGCCTGGCTCTGGGAGTGGGATGCAGAGGGTCGAGGTGACAACGTTTGAGTTGAAGAATTCGCTTTGGTGGTGTCCTGGGCAACCGCTATCTGATTGTGCGGTTGCTGACTTGAAGTGGAGGCTTCACCGTGGTCCAGGCTTGTCTACAGTGATAAACATTTCACATGTCATTTCGAAGTTGCTTGCAGTCAAGGTGGATTCGGATGAATTTGCATGTATGTTCAACCACGGATGAAAGGTGCACTCGCCAAGCCCCGTCGTTTGCAGGGATATAAATCCAGAAGTCTTCATGGGCTGCTCTGACAAGTTCAAGGAGCTTCTCTCCTGGTTAGAAGAGATTTCATTTTCCATAGTGGTAACTGTCAGTTTGCAAAGAACTGTTCTGACGGCGACTAGTATTCTGTTCTCCATACAGATAGGTATTAGTTCGGTGTGCTTTGGGCAGCAGAGCTCTCCTTCACTCGGAGGCCGAGCCAGGGGCTTTTCATCCTGGAGCTGAAGCACAGTCTGACCCTCAAGGGACCTCCCCGACCACATGTCTACAAGCGCACAGCGCTAGCTGTGACTAGGCAGTATTTCATGCAGTGCTGCAGTGAGAATCGTGGGAGGAAGCCCACCAACAGTGAGAGAGCGGGCAGAAAACCCCAGCAGCATCAGCATTAGCCTTTCTACAAGTATAATTGTCGGCTTGCGACAAGAGGCTCAGACCCTGGCTGTACAGCTGGCAACATTAGCGGCTGACCATAGCTGCCACTACTTGGTCTCAAGCGAAGCTCCAAACCCAGAGACGACCCCAGTCTCTGAACCTTAAGCCACACAATCCCCAAAAGCCCGTACTACCGTCACAACCCTAATAACGGCCCATGCCCACCCCCGAAAATGACCCGAAAGTCTGTTTGCCGCCACTCTGCCCACTCCCATGAGCCATTCGTCGAAGTCCAAGCGCCTCGGTGCTGAATGCTGCGTTTGCTGGGCCTCACTGGCGAGGCACAGTCGAAAAAAAACTCGATATCAGGATATTCCGTCGGGGCTGTTGGAGGTGATAGACAGGAGCTTCTAAGCTGAGTATGGCTGTGGACTTGCGTTTCGAAGACGCCAAAGAGTCCTGAGACGGGCCCACTTCCCCGCAGAATCTTGCAAACAGCAAGCAAAGTACATAACCATTTGGTGCTTATATTATCATCGTGTGGTTCTATGAGACTCGCCTAAGCCTGCCGTGCAGGAGCTGGTCTCTCTGGGCCCGGAGGATTTAGATCGCTTGGGCAACACCGTGAAATCGGTGAAGCGCCCTTAGCCGCACCAAGGGCCCATAGTTTCTTGTTCATGGAGGGTTTTGGGCTTCCAGATCTTGGGATGAGATTGCGGGTGTTACGGTCGATCGTGAGGGGTTCAGGGTTTGGGGGCCTAGGATTGAGGGTTCAGCCTGTAGAGTAGAGCTGCCAAATTGAAGCTTGATGCCCAAGCAATGCACTTGATGTGGTCCTTACATAGAATCTGCATATTTCCTGATGGGATGCAGGCCGACCTCTATCATACACTTTATGCCCTGCAGGCAGCATCTGCACATCCTGACGGGATATCCTCGATTCAGACTCCAGCTGACATGCGATGGCCGCATCTTCCGGAACGACGAGGTCTTTGCCTCCGCGGATTTGCCCGCCTTTCGGATTGTCAACAGCTTCGGAATTGCCTTGGCAAGATTGAATGGAGTCCCAACAACAACACCACCAACAACAACAATGGAAACAGCTACAGCAAAAGCAAGAAACACAACAACGACACAAATAAAGACATGGCCAACAGAATTCGCTGTTTGCTGATGCTAACTAACTCGTTTCAAGAGCACTACCACAGCGATAGGTATTCAGGGTGGCACTTGTTTTCCTTTGTGCACCGGTCATCTTATGTTGGCACGACTTACTTCAAACTCCCCTATAAGGGGACCAGGTAGTCGTACAGTAACACTCGGGCCTTATTTTGGTTTGCTTCAGTAGCGTAACCTCGACTTTCAAAGACACATGTAGATACGCAATTTAGTAAACAAATTGAGTAAATGCATGCATAAGTAGTTATGCATATGTATGTGTCTATATGTATATATACATACATATGTATGTGTTTATTTATATTTCTTTATGCGTTTTTCTGTTTTATTATACACACCTAAATATAGGTGGGAAGGTATATCTATATATATATATGTATATATGCATGTATGTATGTATGTATGTATGTATGTATGTATGTATGTATGTAATGTAATGTAATGTAATGTAATGTAATGTAATGTAATGTAGTGTAATGCAATGCAATGCAATGCCATGCAATGGAATGTATTGTATTGTATTGTATTGTATTGTATTGTATGTATGTATGTATGTATGTATGTATGTATGTATGTATGTGTGTATTGTTTGATCGTGATTAATACATGCTGGTCTATGTATTATCTGCATTTTTTATATTAGTATACGTGTGTGTAGATTTTTTTGCCTAAGGCCGAGCTGACCTGCGTGAAGCTGGGCTTTGCCTCGGAAAAGAGCGGAAAGGTGCTGCTGCTGGCTGCACGGACAGGAAATGCCTCTGCAGTGGAAACACTCCTGCACAGGCCCATAGACCCGAATGCAGTTACAGATGAGCTGCGCCATACTCCTCTACATCTTGCCTGCAAGGGGGGCCACCTCGAAGTGGTGAGCTTGCTTCTGGAGGCAGCGGGGGACACCGAGAAGTGCGAGTGCAAGGGGAACACGGCGTTACACGAGGCTTGCGTCCTCAGGGACGTGGAGGTGGCACGGCTGTTGCTTCAGGCACGCGCTGCGGTCAACAAACGCGGCCTCTTCGGAAACATGCTTTGCACTTGGCCTGCCAAGCAAAGCATCCTGACATGGCGACTTTGCTGCTCGAGTTCCGGGCCGACAAGGCTGCCGCCATCATGATCTGACTCTTTTTCGAGTGCGAGGGCTTCACTTCCGAGAAGATGGTTATTGCACTTATGTTTCAGTTTCAGATGAGTGTTCATGTAGGCATTTTTTTGGCGGCAACTTTGCAGGACGTCGTGAACTGCCACAACGACACCCCACTGCACGAGGCCTGTGCAGCCGGGCACACGGAGGTGGCGCGCGCCTTGATTGAGGCCCGCGCGGCCATTGACGTCGCTGGGAGGCGCCTGCTGAAAAGACTTGACGTGGCTACGACCCAATCTCGTGCGAATGGCACAGATTAAGACGACACAGGTGCGCGCGCACACACACAGAGCCACACACACACACACGCACACACACACACATACATATATATATATATGTATACACATAGACACACACACACATGGTCTCCCTCCATCTCCTCTCTCTGTATACGTGCATGCATAATATATTGATATATGTATGTATACAGCATGTATTCATGAACATTTGTAGCTTGTATCAACCAGTCACAAGCCATCAAGCAACTAATCTAATCTAATCGACTCCACTCTGCCCTACTAACCTCCTCTAGCCTAGTCGAGTTGAACCTGATCTCATCTCATCTGGTCTAACCTAATCAAATCAAATCATGTCTATGTATCGATCCATCTACCTGCCTATCCATCCATGTATCCATTCATGTAGCTACCCTTTGTTCGTTGAAGCTTATATTGTACAAGAGATACTATTTGACAGCGACTGTGCGGCCGACGCCGCAGGTTTGGCTTTACACCGCTGCTGGCGGCCTGCATCTCTTCTCAAGAGCAGACAGACAGGAGTTGATGAAGAATCGTACATCTGCATGTACAAGCGAAAGCAGAACTAGTCAACTGGTCAGATTGCTGCCTTGAAGTTTGCGGCAACACATTACGCTGCAACCCCCCCTGTAGAGAAGTGCATGAAGTCGCCCAGGTAAGCACGGCCGTCGTGAAGCTGCACGGCTGCTCCTGGATGCTGGCGCAGATAAGGACTGCAACCTCCTGCTTTATTTACGATTTAGGGGACAGGCACCGAGGTTTCGAAGCACTCGGAGTTCGGGATGCAGTGTGAGAATGTCAAGTTTATGTTGAGGGTCCAGGTGAACCACGAGTTTGCAGGGAGCTCTGAGAAATTTAGGTGCCATTTCTTCGGCAAAGATGCTCAAGTGCTGCAGGTAACAGGCGTGGTCTTTTTTATAGAAGTTCCAGGCGCATCACGCTGACACCATTTAACTACAGCATGTAAGAATCAATTCCGCTCGGAGCCCATGGCACAGGACCGTCTGACGGCGGAAAACACGCCGTTGATTCATGCCTGTTCCGCTGGGCTGCTCGAGGAGAAGAATGAGCCGGTACTGTTGTTGTGATACTTATGGGGGCTCAAAATTTGACAGACCATGGGACTCGCATTGAACGTGTCGATTTGGAAAAGCTTCAAGCCGCTTCGTCAGCTTGCGAGACTTCAGCAACAAAACGTCTCTTCGTGTTTGTACACACATACTGTGTCTATATACATATACATATATATATATATTATACCCTTATTTCTACATATATATATATACACATATATATATATACGTGCATAGGGAGAGAGACGGAGAGAGAGTGAGAGAGAGAGAGAAAGACAGACAAGCCCTGCGGAAGAAGAGAGAGAGAGAGAGAGCGAGCGAGTCTAGCGGGCTGTGGTTTTGAAGTCGTCTGATTCTGCATTTGTTGCCGGCGGATTCTTACATGTTACGTATGACTATCTTGAGACATTCACACATATTTCCTTGTGCAATCGATCAGACAAGTTCTCTGCATTCTCATGTTTTCAGGTTTGTATGTGTGTGTTTGTACACAATACACGTACATGCAGGCATGAATGAATGTATGTATGTATGCATGTATGTATGTATGTGTGTATGTGCGTTTGTGTGTTGCACTGCTTTCAGCTATGCAGGCGCGTGCACAAGCTGTCAGAGTATCAGAGTATGCATGCACGCACGCACGCACGCACGTACGTACGTACGTA